ATTTCGCCCATACCCCCCCATCCAAAAGTTGATCTTTTTCGATTTTTTTTGTGTGGGGGGGTGGGGCCGGGGATGCGCCGCCACGTGGCGTCTCCTGTTTTTTGAAAGTCGCTCCCGCGTGGCCGTCTTGTGGCTTCAAAGCGCGAACGCGTCCGCGGGGTCCGCGGACTGGCCACGTCCGTGGATTCGGCCGCGGATGGCCGCTGCCGAGGGGGATTCATAGTTTCCCCCCAAACAAGAAAAAAAGTGCCGCAGGTCCCAAAATCACTTTGGGTGTCACTTTTGCACCCTGGCTGGGCCGGTAACGGACGCTGTGTAAAAATGGCGCGAAAGTGTTTTGCAGGGTGTAAAAATGACACCTGAAGTGATTGTGGGACCTGCGGCACTTTTTCCACGGTTTTGGGGGAAATCTATACAAAGGTTTCGTTGCGCTGAGGTTTTACGACTTTTCCCTAAGAGAAACACATATAAGAGGCCGTGGACCTCACAATTCAACCCGGTTCCATAGCCAGACCAACCGGGCTGAAACACAAGCTTTGAGGCTTTACCACTTCACACCAACTGCCAGACCAACCTGGCATCAACACAATCTACTTCTAGATCGAAAGCAACAGACGGCCACTCATTCACATCCGACCCCTCCTGCCCCTACCGCGGGTCGCCACGTCTAAAACGCTCCCCCCAGGCCGTATAAGCCGCCGCGTGACCAGGTCGCTTCCCTTCCTGCCAAGCTGTTTGAAGCATTTCCAGTTTTCTCCAGTACCTTCCACAAGTACTTCTAGATAGAAAGCAACAGACGGCCACTCATTCACATCCGACCCCTCCTGCCCCTACCGCGGGTCGCCACGTCTAAAACACTCCCCCCAGGCCGTATAAGCCGCCGCATGACCAGGTCGCTTCCCTTACAGCCAAGCTGGTTGAAGCATTTTCAGTTTTCTACAGTACCTTCCACAAGGGTACTCTGTTACTGTTACTCCGTTCCCTTGTTCCTCCCCCGTGAGGCTGTGAGCTGATGTCCGTGCATCGTTGATAGGTTGCATGCGAAGCCGCAGTCTATCTCTGCTGGTAGAAATAATGCACGGCCTGACGCAGAGAAGTCTTGGCCATTTTATACCGGAAAACTTTCGTATGGACGAAGAACTTATCTCTGCCACTTGTCATGCCCAGTTTCCCGCGGCAGGTAGCTGACGCGTAATCTTTGTGCGTCACCGTGACCATCCGCATTACAGTCGGACCATGATCAACGGCCGGGCGGGGAAGAACGTTTATTCCTCAATAAACAGCGCCCGGCAATTTCTTTTTTCACTTTTACAAACAGTTTACTTCCAGTCGCTGGTGCGTGGCAATAAAGGGCCCATTGGCCAGTTTTGCAATTAACGGCTCACGGCAAAACAGCCCCTCAGCTTGTTTATCGCTACCATGTGTGCAGCACTGATAGAGGGACGGCTTAGGAGTGTGCATGGTGATGTGATTTGATGGGGTGACTTGTCCCCCATTCCCGCCAGGTAATACGTAATAAACCCCCCCTGCATAGGCTGGGTCTCCCCGTTTTGTTCTCATTTTAGTAGACTTCTTTTTTTGCTGCCCCCCCCCCCCCCCCCTCTCCCTCCCCCCTTCCATGTACTAGTGTGATGACGCCTAGCTGGTTGATGAAGACGATGCGTTTTCACGAGAGAAGGAACGTCCGTGCGGCATTCTGTGACATCAGAAGTCGACACGTGCGCTTCCTCTTGGTGCGCGTATTCCTCTACTCCTTTTCCCTGATCTTAGCTGCCATGCTCCGCGGCTACAGTCCGTTCAAGGGACTGTCCCGCAGATTCTCGTCGTTGGATGTGATTTCGAATTCCCATGCGCACCTGGTTGGGCGTCTTCTGCAGGCGCCCACATGGGCAGCCCCGCCATCTCTTCCGGTGGTGTCACCGTTCGAAGGCAAATGGGGACTCGAACCGGGACTCTTGATCAACAACTCGGTACGGGTCGTTGCTTCACATCCATCCCCGACACAGGATTGTCAGTCTGTAATCGCGAACCTGGTGGTTTCGCCTCGGAAAGAGCTGTACTACGTCCTCGAGCAGACCTGCTCAAACAGCAGCTCAAACAGCAGCGTTACGTCGATCAGAAGAGCCAACTTGTGGAGGGCGCCCCTGGGATCTGACTCACCAGATGACGAATCAACATTATTAACCTACTTGTGGTTTTACGCCAAGCGGAACGGGTCGAGAATTGCAGAACGGCCGAATTCGACGGCTTCCGTGATGGGGATGGCCCTTTCGAAAGATGGCACCCATCTCATCTTGAGCGTAGCCTACCCTTCCTCCTACGTTTCTGATTCTGACAATGTTGATGTTGGCTTTCACGATGGCAGCATCACGTCCTTGTCTGTTTCTGACTCCTCCCGTCGTTCTTCCTCCTCGTTTTCCTTTGATTATATTAACAAAATCGGTTTGGACCCTTCCGGAGAGCGTCTGGTTTATGATAGGGGCGGTTACCCTGGACTCGAATATATTCGGGTCGATAGCTCGGGACTTCCGTCGGATGTATCATTAGAATTAGACAACGATTCGGAATCCATAGGCAGCGATTCGGAATCCATAGGCAGCGATTCGGAACCCATAGACAGCGATTCGGAATCCCCGTTTAGATTCATAAATGGAAGTTACGTTGGTGGTGACGCCATATTTCAATCTCAAAGCTTTGTGAACAATTGCCTTTATTTTTTGCAGACAAATGCGATGCAGCTGTTCGGGTTTCACCCGTTCATCGAGGGGACCCGACCCATAGCGGCGGTATCCTTATTTCCAGGCCCACCAAAACGTAGGGATGATGTTGTCGTCACTCGAGACGGGTGTCATCTCTTTTTAACCGTAGGCGGCTCTCTGTATAGCTTGGACATCCGCACGCAATGCTATCAGCTAGTAGATAACTTGTTTAGCGAGTTGGATTACCCATCGGGTACATTTACGGGATTGGCATTGATGGAGAATGAAGGGGGGGAGGACGCATACTTGTACTTGGGCTCTGAGGGCGGGAAACTTTTTGAAGTGCAGTTGAACAGGTCTGGCAGAGACTGTGTATTAGAAGCGGAACCAAGCATTTCCCCCGCACCTGAAGGTGCCGTAGAATCAAGAACAAGCATTCCCCCCGCACCTGAATATGCCGTAGAATCACAACCAAGCAGTCGCCCTGCATCTGGACATGTCATCACTGTTCTGGTAACAGCTGTGGTGGCTGGCACAGTGGTCGCCATCGTAATCATTGGCAGCTTGATATGCCTACTGCGGAGAGCGCGCCGCCGACCAGCTGGTCCGGAACGTCCCCTGGACCTCGGTGAACAGGCGACTTCATCTTTAATGGAAGATGAAGCGTTGGACGCGTGGGGAATTAAGCCGTCGCGGGTCAAGCAGTTCGCTTTCAGAGTCCTGTCGGAATGTACGGACAAATTCAGCGAGGGTCGGAGAATTGGGGAGCAGGGAGCGTTTGGGAAGGTTTACAGAGGCTCGCTCGACAGCGAGGAGGTCGCGGTGAAGGTGATGACGGGTGAGCTAACGGTCATCAAACGGAGCCAGTTTGTGGCCGAAGTGAACACCCTCAGCGGGCTCAATCATGCTAATCTCGTACAACTAGTCGGGTACTGTCTCGCGGGCGATCACTGCATCTTGGTGTACCCGTTCTTCAGAGGGGGCAGCCTCTACGGGCGGCTGTTCCCCAAGGCTGTCACTGGGAAGGATGCAAAAGCGCCCGAGACAGACCATACTGTCGAGGATCCATCCCCTCCGCTGACGCTTCAGGAGCGCATGAGCATCGCCTTCCAGGTTGCCAAGGGGCTCGGCTACCTTCACGACGCCGCCAGGCCACCGATTATCCATCGGGACATCAAGAGTAGCAACATTCTGCTCGGCGAGGGATCTGGCGAGAAGCTTCACGTCGTCGTAGCGGATTTCGGATTGGCAGCCATCGGCGAGAGGGTGTTAGACACCGGACATGACCACGTCGTGCTGACCTCTCACATCGGCGGCACTTTCGGGTATATGTCTCCCGAGTACATGCTGAGAGGAGAGCTGTCCGAAAAGAACGATGTGTACTCTTATGGGGTACTCGTTCTGGAGCTGTTGACGGGCAAGAAGGTGGTCGGGCCGGCTCCTTCCGGTCTGGGATGGCAGACGCTCGTCGGGTGGGTGAAGCCTTTCCTTCGAGGGGGAGTCGTCCAGAGCGGGAGCATGGAGATGCCGTACCTGATACTTGATCGGTGCTTGTGGGATCAGGTGGCTGGAGACTCGATCAAGAAGATGGTGATGAACACATTCCAACTTGCTTGGGAATGCGTGGAAGAGGAGTATGGGTCCAGACCAGCCATGAGAGAAATCATTCAGCGCATTCACAACATGTTCCTGGAAGTGGGTTGGGATGGCCTGACGGTGATGATGGTGGACCTAGAAAACGATGTGGATGATGATGCGGTAACCGCTACACGAGGTCTCAAGGAATGAAGTGTTTTTTTTAAAGATATTGCCACTTGATTGCGGCATCAGTAATTAAGATGAATAGCCAGTACAATATCTCCGCTCAACAGTCCAACAGATCAGTCCTGAGCTTTCTCGAAATAGAAGAAAGGTAAAAAAAGAGTGGAAGCCATGCATGGCATCTCAGGGAACGACGGGCTGTTCTGGAAGTTGTAATCCTTAACACCACATGATGATCTACTTTGGGGCTCTAACTGCTGTAGACGTTTGTTTCGATTTAGAAACGACAGGTTTGCGTGAAGCCATGATTGGATAATGGTATCGAGCATACATTAGGAAAAAAAACAACAAAAAAACCTATTACACTGTGATTGGATCATTCCGTCGTTCCGTCAGAGTACAGAACCAACGGGCCTACGCGCGTGACCTGGAGCCACGTGTGCTCGTCTCGTTTCTTGTTCCTTTGATTTTGTGTCTGTGTTGGAGAGAGAGAGAGAGAGAGAGAGAGAGAGAGAGAGAGGGCGTCATCATCTAATTAGTGATGCAAATGAATTAATAAACAAGATTCCCCACTCGTGATTAACGGATTGACGAAATTCCCACTGTTTTCTATTTTTGTCCTTCTTTTTCGTGGGAATGTGCAACGTACCCCCAAAGGCGGAGGCATTAACTGATTCAGGCCAGTTCTCAAATTTGCTATCTGAACCTGGCCGCTGAGGCCTCCGCCTGCACACTTTTTTACGTTGTCTACCGCGGCCGCTACTTTGCGACATACCCAGCACGGCAATCTGGCTCCCAAATTCACACACGCAAATCCGTTCACGCACACGCACAAACATGCCTGCAACTCTCTCTCTCTCTCTCTCACACACACACACACACACACACACACACACACACGCGCGCGCGCATGCATGCATGCACGCGCGCACGCACACACACATGACGGCGACTCTCTCTCTCTTTCACACACACCCAAAAGAGCGCCCACATACATATAAATGTCCGCGATTCATCTCTCTCTCTCTCTCTCTCTCTCTCTCTCTCTCTCTCTCCCCCCTCCCTTCTCCCCAACTCCCTCTCCATCCCTCCTTCCCTCTCTTCCTCTCTTTCTTTCTATCTATCTTCGCGTTTGTGATTTGCGAGTCTCCTGATACAAACGAGGTTTCGAAACAATCTGAATGGATCCGGTCCAATTACAGCTCCGGATACATTTAGACTGTTTCAAAGTTGAATGCGTCGGGACGGCTACCAGCGCCCGGTGCATTTAAAATGTCGGCCAGTGGAGAGACAGCACTTACAAAACACAAACACCGGGGGGGTGCAGGGGAGAAAGGAGGGAGGGAGGGAGGGAGGGAGAGGAGGGGGGGGAGGAGAGAGAGAGAGAGAGAGAGAGAGAGAGAGAGAGAGAGAGAGAGAGAGAGAGAGAGAGAGAGKGGGGCATGTATGGCAACAGCTGTGGCTCCACTGTAACAAGACCTTGTCAGTGAGGACATACTCACTCCCTGAGGGCCTACTCACACTACCGGTCTCTTAAATGTATTTGACCGCATTACTGCCCCACCTGGATGCATCTGGCCACACTCCAGTCCCGAAATAACTAGTGTGAGCATGTGCTGAGAGTCTTTTCTTTGGGTGCTTTCACATGGAGGTCGAGCCACGTGTCCGCTCTCCTTGTTGTCTGCTCTCTACAGACCTCCCTCTCAGATTCTTCGAAAGCCAAAGCTTGTTTCTGGGAACTGTCGCTCAAAGGCTTAGGCTTGGACCCCACTAGCCGGTGGGGTGGAAAAGTGGGTTGGCAACAAAAGACGGGCAAGAGAGTTTGGATATAGGGCCTGGCTGCACTCCTCTACATTCGAGCTTTTCCTCGAGTGCGCCGGATGCACTTAGGAATGGACCCCACAGGGAAGAATTGTGGAAAAACTTTTCTCGGACTCTACTGGACAAATCAGGCCCTCCAAAAAGCCCATTTCCGGGACCCCACCTCCTGGAAAACCGTAGATGGAAATCCGAGATTTTGTTTTTTCCGGTCCGAAAAGTGCCACCGGAGTTTCCACCGGAATGTTTTGCCCTTCCCAGAGAGTAGACGGGGGGGAATGTCCTTCGTTGGAAACTCGTCGCCCACACCGCCGGTCCATCCAGAGTTGATCCCTGGTTCAATGGCCAGGGCGATGGAGAGTGCAGTACCCCCGTTCACGGTTCACGGGCTCTGTGGACCACCGGAATGTTTTGCCCTTCCCAGAGAGTAGAGGGGGGGGAATGTTCTTCGTTGGAAACTCGTCGCCCACACCGCCGGTCCATCCATAGTTGATCCCTGGTTCAGTGGCCAGGGCCATGGACAGTGCCGTAACCCCGTTCACATACCCCCGTTCACGGTTCACGGGGTCTGTGGACGGAAAACGGTCATGGAGTTCACGGTGTTGGAGTTCATGGAGTTCACGGAGAGCGGGATCGAGGTTTTTCTTTTTCTTTTGGCTGGGGGGGGGGGGG